TGCTGTGAAGTCATACCTAGGTAATTAATGATTGGGAACCCTTGGTTATATATCACATTTATAACAAGGTCGTAATCCAGTAATCTAGAAAACAGTACTGGTAGAGATAAAAACATGAACAGATTTGTTATCATAGTCATGTCGCTCAAAACCAGGGCACGTAGAAGGATGTTATTCGCGGACGCCATTTCCTTTTTCCATAGCACTATAGCTGTCAATATGTTTCCAATGTACCCGAAAGCCACGATGACCGGAAGTAGAACTCCATACATGGCAAAGAGAAAAACGTCAAAATCAAAACCATTGTTATGTTCCGTTCTGTTAGTCAAGATTGAGGAACTGGAATTGCCCGAAACGTTCATGGTATATGTGTTAATCCTCACCACACGACACAATAACCACACAAATACATATCCTTTCTAGATATCAATACGTTTTATATTGATTTTTATGTTTTAATAGTTATTCAATCAGCAATTCATTTCCCTAACTTTCCCGACATCGTAATCACACTTCGATTGTAGTAACGCCATAACTGTCGATTGCTTCCTTCAGTGTGTAGTCTTGAATCTGAACCTACAGGAAGCACTTATTCAATACTATGCCGCCGTACTGGAAATCACCTGATGTAACCTGATTACCTTTGAATAATTGATGCCAAATCAATTACCATCATCGCTGACTGAATGATAAACACAACTTTATCAAAATAGGTTTGTCATAAAAGTCGTCAAAATATTCACTGCAGATAAAGTGTTGTTTCGATATGAATACCTGTCAAACTGCCACTAGAAGTAAGTTGCTATGGAGATATGCAATTTTTGACCTTTGGGTAAAAATGTGCATATGATGCAGTTCGATTAATTTTTTGTGCTTATTCTGTATTAAATGTTTAATTTGAATTGAAAGTTATTATTAATTTGTGTGCTTCTTGTACAATCTTCGGTAGACACAGCTGGAGGACTTTTTAGTCCATACATGATGTTTTACTTAATATAATACATGTGTACTTAGCGTTCTATTGAAATTATATGACGAAACTGATGATAATGAGCTCACCAGACTACTACATTTCTACATCTAAAATTTGATCTTTTTATCTATCAATTTTGATTTTCCTCGGTTGTCTCCAAGGTTTCAAAATTTTAGCCCTTAGCATCACTGACGAGTCTTTGAAGAACGAAATAGCTGTATGATGTAGCATCACTGACGAGTCTTTGAAGAACGAAACAGCTGTATGATGTAGCATCACTGACGAGTCTTTGAAGAACGAAACAGCTGTATGATGTAGCGTCACTGACGAGTCTTTGAAGAACGAAACAGCTGTATGATGTAGCGTCACTGACGAACCTTTGAAGAACGAAACAGCTGTATGATGTAGCATCACTGACGAGTCTTTGAAGAACGAAACAGCTGTATGATGTAGCGTCACTGACGAGTCTTTGAAGAACGAAACAGCTGTATGATGTAGCATCACTGACGAGTCTTTGAAGAACGAAACAGCTGTATGATGCAGTTTAATTATCATTTGACTCTATCGATCAAATTCTAAATTTTGATAGAAAGGTGCATATATATATATATATATATATACCATCTATCAGCTAGGCTCTTTATCATACTGCTTTCTAACATAGAGAATAACAGACACCACAATAATGAGACAGGTGTCTATTTCGTGGTAGATTACATAGAAAGAAAAGTCCGTAGTTCCGTTATTGTATTGTTGACCGAAGTTAACTCATAATGTGAAAATATACCCCTCAGCTTAAAACATTATTAACAACTCCAAATCAACACTCAAGGCATTAAGAAGAAATTGGTTTTGCGCTTTGTGATCACATATTCTCCTGTTTCAATGGTCTAGACAGAGTGTTGGTGTTTGCTTGTTCAGTTTATCGTTTCTCAGGGACAGATACAGAGGGGATGGGGAGACGGAGTCTGTCTTTGTGCAGACCACCAACAAATGTTGTATGCAAATGAACCACTAGGACAGAAAATGCTCATCTATATATATATATAGTCTGCTTGTAGATTTACTGGGTAACGTTAAAATTTGTCGTTTTATTCTCGAGATTGTTCATGGATGTACAGAAGTCAAAAGTCTTGATGACGAAGGCACCCGGACAAATCGTGAAAACAGTGTTGAAATGATTTAACTCGTCATTTTTCCTCAACGTGATTATGTAACGTTCAAAAACATATGACTGTAATTAAGCTATAAATTCCTCATACAATACCTTATAATTAAATTTTTTAGGGGGCGTCATATTAAGGGATTATTTTCAATTAAACGTTCATTTCTAAAATGTGTTAAAAGATCTTAACATATTCATATATGTGTGAAATAATGGCAGGCGTTTTTATTTGATCTAGAAGTGAAGTAGAAGTGGTCCCGCGTGAAATGTTTCATATATGTCGGGGCGGATGCATACCCCGCATCATCATCCCCCGGTCTTTTTAATACCGCAATACAAAATGATTTCGCATGTAGTTAAATATATTTTAATCTTTGAAGATAAATATTCCTATAAATCGTGTCAATGAAATGAAAACACGCCAGATGAATATTGTGTTGTCCTTTGTGAATGTAACATAAAAATTGCAAGCGTAAATTATTTTAAAATTAATTGCTATCTTTACATAATTCTTTTCTTCTGTATGTCGTTTTCACAATTTTCGATTGAAATCACTTCCTTAATCATATCACAATAAAGTTGCAGTTTTGCGATTACCAGAATTAAATCAACAGAACGCCACAGACCTCGACGATGATGTCCCAACGTGACAAACTGGGACGACTTACCCCACTAAGGAGAATAATATCTTTGACGATTTCGATTATCTTATATTGTAAACTTTCTATCACCGATTGTACATTTCCTCCTTTCTCCTCCTGTGGTGTTTACTTATTTCTTCCGAAAGGTTTTCTTGAAAGATGGATTGCTAGTACATTTACAACATAATCTTAAATAGCATGATAAAGGAGTCCTACATCGGTGTTCGTCATCGTATTTGTAATTTTTCTGCTTCTATTTGTTTTTTAGGTGGATTTATTGCTACTTATCATTTTCCTATTTGCTACTTCTTGGGCATAATAGGTTCAGGTATTAACTGTCGTTCGTAAATCGCCACATGCTTTTATGCTTTCACATTTCAAAAACTGCGCAAGCAAAGACTTATTTTTTGAGTTATATTGATTTTAACATGTCGTGCTTTTTCAAAATAAATATACAATGTTACTGTATTTGTCAGAATAAATCAATTGTATTGCATTCTGTATTTGCATATACGATTCAACTTAGTTGACGGAATTGAATGCACGACATGTGATATATTAAACGTTGTTGTACAAAACCAATAAAGCACGTGTCAGGTACTGTGTTGGAAACACACATTTAGAGCCGTAGGCGTCACATCACGCATCCAAACCTGATATCCTACCGTATTTCTCCAATTTCCCACCCTATGGTAAAACAACAAAACCCCCATAGACTGTTCAAGTGATACCAGTACGTGTATTTATATATAATGAAAATCCTTTGTTAGACTGGTCGATAAGGCTGATGGTCCTTTAAAATAATGTATAACTATTCTCACATTCCTATAAATAATACTGGTATATCATACAATATATAAATATATAATGTCAGAAAAAAATCGACCGTCCTAGACCAGTACATTGCTCGGAACTTAGTTGCTCTGTCACCAGCTACACGTGCACCTCGTGCCAAAACAGGTGCGCTACATATTGGGGGGCAATCCATTAGGATATCATACTTTGCTTTTATTCCTTGTAGTCAACCGAGCGAAATATGATATCCTGTCCGTACCACTATCATTTAGTAGTCTCATTTACAAGTCAGCGGAAAACAGTCGTACAAGGACACATTATATTGTTGCGTCCTTGAAGTTTTTGTTTAGTATTAAAGTAAGTGTTTATTTAATAGAAAGAATATCACCATTGGTACATATAATGTACGAATACCAAAGCATTTTATATTTAAATGTTACAAACCGCGGAAGCAGCAGTGTTGAACTGTAAAGATAACGACAGGTAGTGAATATATAGTAATTTTGACTCCTATTGTTTATCATTTGGAATATTGATTGTGCACATGCAACGTGACAGGGTCGGCACCCTTATATCAACACGTCAGTAAAATCGAGATCCGAAATCGTAATGAATCAAACTAGGAAACCATCTAAACAAATGAAATATCTACACAATATCACTGAAAATTATCAGAGTAAGTATGTTTCTCCTTTAATCACCATGTAAGGTTAGGCAGATCTAGGTCAGTCCAAACGAAACCATCCCACCCAATACACGAGGATCAAAGACATCTGTCTTCACATTACACAAAAATGGAATATTGGCCAGTGAGATGAACTAAAATACATGTATTAGATAGGAACAAGGATTTCGAGTTTTTGTTCGCTAAAATCCCCAATACGTCTGCTCCCTGCACTCTGTATGTCACAGTTAATAATAACAAATTACTATGTGTTAATTCTTTTTATCATCATTTTTTTGTCTTATGTTGTATACTCCAACAAATTTAACACTGACAGAACTGGACACTACTTAGAAATACCGTTATTTAAGTGGTATGTATCGCCCACTAGCCAGAGATTTAAAATCATCTAGAACATTTTATTAATCCATCATAGAAACAAACCAGTTTTATTTTTTTTAATTTCGAATTTGAGTTCAGGGATTTATCTTAAATATTTAATATATAAGACTGAGTTATTTACACCAGTAATCTCTGTATGTGTTGATAAAGTGATAACATTTCGTCCCGATTTTCAGTAATCTTAGGTTTATATTAAAAACGTTCATCTAACCAATTCAAGTCTTTATAACGAAATAAAATATATTCAACTCCGCTTTGATTGATGAAATACAATTTAACTCAGATTTGATGAAATATAATTTAATCCACTTCCGTTTGAAGAAGTAGACACAAAATATATTTTAACAGTTTGGTGTGATAAACTACAGTTTAATAAATACTTTTATAACAAAATAAAACTAACTTCTGTCTTATCAACTAGGTATATCAGTCATCAAGTCATGGAGAATCAAACAAGACTGAATATTTCAGTCTCAATAAACACTGAGCTTGGTTCTAAACCGGACACGTCAGTCTCAATAAACACTGAGCTTGGTTCTAAACCGGACACGTCAGTCTCAATAAACACTGAGCTTGGTTCTAAACCGGACACTTCAGTCTCATTAAACACTGAGCTTGGTTCTAAACCGGACACTTCAGTCAAAACACGGGAGTTCTGTAGTAGACACTTCGATCATCAGACAATAGCTAAATAATAAAAAGCTCCAGACAGAATATGTTTGTCTAAACAAGCGAAACAGCCGAGTATCAGATTTCAAAATTGTACAACAGTATTGGGCCACCTTTATACGGTGAGTAAAGTCATTTTTATTAGCCCGGCATTACTTGGTACAGTCTTTCTGTATAATCTCCTCCCAGTCCGGCCAAAACGCTTCCTTCATACGCTCACAGTAGTCACAGAGGTTGGGGTACTCTGTAGGGAGACAGAAACATTCAAATCTTTTGAAGTATACGAGATTTCTTCCGTGTATCATTTTTAATTAAATACACATAAGGACGACATGATATATCACTTTGGAAATAGTATAAATTGACAGAATTCAAAATAAGCAAGATCTAAAAAAAGGTATTTATAACATGTATGTGGTTTTATAAACATATTGTTGGAATTAGTAGACCACTTTCAACAGAAATAATTTAACATCTAGCATAGGTTTCAAATCTTTACAATCATTCCATATTTTTCTGATGACAGCCGCAATCAGATAAGATTCAACTGATTCAAGGAAATGTGTGAGTGAGTATGGTTAGCAACATGGAAAATGTTTGAGCGACACTGAATAAAAAATGTTAATAAGGTCAAGACATCCGAATCAAGTTTCATCATCTGTCAAACCGGACAGGAATACATAATTTTTGCTACAATTGTATCTAGATGTTTCCTTTCAGAAGACTGGGTTAACATTAACGGCTTCCTTTCTCTTCATTTGATCAATAAAGGTTTCTTTCATTTCCCACTGAATTTCGAGAGAAACAGACACTATTGGGTATCACAATAAAACCGAGGTGAATTCTTCTGATATCGACCGCGTTATAAAATGGTGACAATTGTTACCTTTTATGACGGATAATGAAAAACCTCCAAATGATGCCCATTTCATCTCTGCCAGGATTCCAAAGATTGAACAGTCAAATTTGCACGCTTTGTCACCGAACAGAAATTTCTTCGATCCTAAATTCAAGATTAAAACAGATACATTTCCTCTCATACACAAACGATTACGGTTTTACTGTATACCATTAACCTATAGATATATTAAAAACTATCGCATATAGTGGTAATACTATTTAAAACTAAGACAAACTGTAATAAGTATACTTATATTAATGTCTAGCTTCCTCCTGCCCCAATATGATATAATCAAACTCTAATGTTATCAAGAGGTATAATATGCTACAAGCAACATAAGTAGTATTCAAAAGAACTCTCATTAATATAATTAAAAATGACAAAAAATAATAATAAAACAATATTAAATGAAAATAGCGATTTGAAAGATCGCGACATCATTTACGCAGAAAATTGCCGCTAGAGGGCTCTAACTCTTTTCGATATTTCAGCCAATAAGAAGGCCAGGATCGGTAAATTTTGTCTGAAAGGCCATCGCAATAGGCTATTCGTACTGAGTATGTTTAGCCTAAAAACATAATGAAATAATTCATAAGTTGTTTAAGGTATTTTTTTTTATATTTACCGAGGAAATAGGACAGTGCTTTGAGGTCTGTCGACAAAATGTGACGTATTTCCTCTGGTGTATGACGTAATACACCTTGTTCGTAAAACCTTTTGCGTAAACCACGCTTCAAAAATAGCCTGGAAACAGAAAAAAAATTCTCGTAAATTGAAGCATCTGTTAGTATTCGATACACACATAAGTTTAATTTTATCAGAAATAAATCTTGGTTCTAATAATATTGAGTATCATAACAATTGTTCCATTCAATATGCTGTCAGTAATGCTGTCGGATAGATATCCATCCAATGTCCTGAAATTGTATTCAGTGTTATTATCATTATTATTATGAATAGTATTTACAAGCATTATCAAATACATACTGTAAACAAAGTCGACGACGTGTTATACAACTTACGCCAAAAGTGAAGGGATTTTATAATTCTTCCAAACTCCATTGGTTTCGTCAAGAACATATCGATCTGCCGCAAGACACCTACAAAATCAGAAATACGTTAACCATACACTTCAACTCAATGATTAAGTATGAATTATAACGACGATAAAATGATTAATTCTTTTTCTGTTGTAGGGAAAATGGTGAAATAATGACTGGGTACGAAATCAGGGACACCATGGAAATCTGAAAATACTTCGTTACTTCAGAAATTTCTCCCATTATACACATTTTAATAGACTACCTCATTGTAATATAAAATTTTGGAAATGAGAAACGGTTAAAAGTTAAAAATATCACATAGGACGTGTCTCTACAAGATCGCTAATTTGCTAATGATTTCCAAAAGCTTGCGTCCCGGACATTTCGTGTTGTAAATGAAGGAAATCCTGATATTTGGAACAGCTACTGTAAGTATTGGAAAGCAGGAATGCTACTAGGAAGATATGGAATATTCAAGATCAGATGCTGGTCTACTGTAGTAACAGCAGCATCCTTAATTAAGGCTGTTGTATTGTATGTAATTCTGCTGCTCCAGGTTCAATATCACTTAATCAATTTTGGGACACCAGCAATAACCTCGCTCATTCGACTTGCTAACAATGAAGAAAATAGCAACGAGAAATAACAAAAACACAATTGGTTTTGAAGCCCCGCTATAATACTGGAATTTCGTGCTGTTTTATTTACAGTACATCGATATATTACTTATATACGCCAACCCCTTGAATAAAAGCATGAAAGCATTCATAAATAAGTTACCGTCATAGCTTAATTCTGTTTGCAGTACGATCTATTTTAGCTTACTTTAGCTATCAACCGCAATAATTCAATTTCTATATAACACATACCACACAAACTCATAGAACATCAGGATTTGAGGGAAGTAAACGGGACTTAACAAGGCAGGTTGGCTGAATCAAGCTGTTTTGTTGGATTATGTAGTGAGATGGTTACCTACCAATACGTATTTTCCTCAAACATTTTCTGGAAGGCTCTGCCAATTCCAATCTGTTCCGGGGTTAGACCCTTGTTCAAGTCAAAATTCTTCTCCTTACTGAGGAACTCAAGTATAAACTCGCTATCTGGAATTTCTTCTCCGTTGTATTCCAAAAATGGAATTTTTCCTGTTTTCTTGCTTCTCCTAGATAAACTATGTTCTACCTGCAGAAATGCCAAACGATCAATTCGGTATTTTTATTTTCGCATTTTGCCTGGATGGACCAGCATCTTTTACTAAAGGTTATGCAGACAATCGAAGAGGGAAAAATCGATTGGTTTTTTCAAGATAACAATGTAATTGTTCGAATCTCCTTTAAATCTTGAATAATATCATTTCAAAATAATGCCCCCTACAAACATATACCTGGTAGGGAATACCTTCCATCCGGAAATATGTCTCTAATTTAATAGCATAGCACGTGAGACTGGGCACGTAAGGACCACGTCCAATCTGGTGGATAACAATGGTATCTCGTGGATATTCTTTCCTATGGAAACAAACACAATTGACAAAAACAATAATTAAAGAAAAATAACACGCCTCCCAACCTATGATGGAAGTCTGCCGAGACCGATGTAAGGAGACCTCGCAAATGAGTAAGAGAAGGAGATCGTACTTGAGTGGAAAAACCAGAAAGCATGTTCAGCTTTATCAGTTGTAGATTGTCAGCTTTCAAAATGTAAAAACTAGTAAGCATGTTCGTTTTACAGATAAATATATTTCTGTTTTCTATTTAGTTTCAGGTGAACACAGCGTCTATATCATGTATGGTATTTCATAAGATAATGCCACTTTTAAACGTTTACCTGCCACTTCGACACGCCTTGATTCCTCTCACCACACCTGCCAGAACTGCCCCTGTAAGTACAACCCCGCCTGCAACCTTCACAGCCACAGGAAGGTCTGCAATCACATCCGTTACCTTAGACATTGCCATGCTGTAATAATTATAAACCTGGTCGTTTTGATGATTTACACGAGTGTGAAAGGCTTAATCTTGTAGCGGCACTTGTCACATATTTGTGTGGCTGTGGCTCGTTGAGTTTAGGTTCACTTTATGGGACACTCTGTGGTATACAATATATGTCATCTAAACACTAGAGGTATTCCGAGTATCGGATTTTAAAAAAATCTATTTATAGATTAGCAAAGCATCCGGATGTGTTTATTTTAATCAAGAATCTTTATCATGATTGATTGCTGTTTGTTTCATTATACCATGTTCTTGAAGGAATTACTATAGCTGGTTTTCAGATCCTCTTTATATTGTATTGTAAAGTATGTTACTGTAGCGTGCGTATGATGGAAATCAGATACCGTTTAAATGAAGATGATAATTGAAAGGGCTAGATAGTCCTGTAAATTATCAAAAAATACTTCGGTACGTTTCGATAAAAATGTCAATATAGGATGAACATTATAATTGTAATGTAAACAAGGAAAAGATTATATGTGTATTGAATTTGAAAAGTCAATTGGATTTACATGATTAAAAAGTCGAAAGCAATTAACGTGTTATTGAAAGGTGCTTTATGTATAATTGTATATTGCGTAACAAATTATAATGTGAACATGTGTATGTGTGTTTCTTTCTTTCAATATTAATTGAATCGGTGTTATTTTCTATAACTTTTTTGGAGGAAATAAAGGTAATAATACTCATTCTGTGAATACTGATTTGAAAAAGTGAAATTTTATCAGGAAAGTAAAAAAAAAAAAACCCGAATCCTAAATTTTTATTACAAAACTTAAATATAAGTCGACAGCGACCCAGGAAAAATATGTCATATGGAATAAAAGAAAGAATCTTTCGGACCAATCTAGCTAACTGTTCTACTATTTTGAATACGTATAACCTCAAAATACAATGTATATTCTCCAATAAAATACGTTTACCACATGATATTGTATCATTATAAGTATGGAATTATGTCGGCCTTTTTAAAGAATGTTTAACTTTGTGCCGATAGTGAGTTTTTATAATGTAAGTGAAAAGCAAACAATTAACATATGGCTGTGTTTAATTTTTCGTTATATTTCAACAGTGTATTTACAGTTCGGAAAGCGAGATGATGGTTTGAGATACTAAGTAACAATATCGAGGTATCTTAGCTCACCAGCACAACTTTAATAGTTTTTTAAAACAAAAACGAGATTTAGTTACTTCAGAGATCCTCGGTAAAGCTAAAAGATGACGAGTTTCATAAATTACTTGTGAATTAACCTGGTTTGGGGTTTTATTCATTTTTCTAATTTTTATATTATCCTCGATTTATGACCTGATCATCAATAAAAAAAGCTCTTTCATAAACAACAGAAATATTCAGTTTTGTTTTGCTACATTTTGACGCCTTACAAATGGATGTATTTTTAAAGGTTTTTAATTGTTATAGATTTCCATGTCAGAACAGACAAAAAGTTAAAATATCTACAAAATAAACATTCTTAAATACTATGCATAAAATTCAGGAGAACGGAACTTTGTAAATATTTTATTAAAGAAATCTGTAGTTAAACGTTCAAAACCTCAAACAATGCGGGGTTAGTATATTGGTAAATAAGCGAAAATACTTTTCCACAAGAATCATCAATTAATGTCTCCAATACGTGACCTATTTCCTTCAGTGTGTTTTATCCTCACTCAATATCACAGCACGTGCTTCATAACATAATACTGACGTTCAAATTCAGGGTCTATAGGACACATTTTGTATGTATAATGACAATTATACGGATGATGAAATAAGAAAAAAGCATGAGACACATTGTCTATCACAAGAAAAAAAAGACAAGCGATTGAACAGATACATGATCAAATGCGCTTGTCGAATCATAAGATTTTGATGATGTTCATATACAACGTACGATCAGACGTACATAAAATAACTCCAGAAGAGAACATAAAAATACTAATATATATGTTACAGTTTGGTTGACTTTATGTTCTACGCACACTGATCAAGGTTGTTATATAAATATTTTTAAGGTAAAAATGAACATGAAAATATGTTCTGATTGTATATGTTCATGGACATTCTAGCTACAGCGTTGTAGCGCTAACAGAATTACGATTTTATCTATATTTAGCGTGTTGCCTTCATTACATGTACAAAGTGATACTTGAGCATAATCAAAATTATAAATAAAAAGAAACTTGTAAATACACTATATAAATACACTATAAAATGATGAATTATTGGTAACGCATCCTTACCGTAATATAATAAATTATATGATTAGTTATCATTAGACCAAACACAGTGAACGACAGCCATGACAGATCCCGTGTTATGTTATATAAAATCCTATTCCTGGGTACGACTTGTAAATACTTTCAAACGTCGTACAGTTGTGATGATCAACAAGAAGGGAAAACCTGCCAGTGGCAACAAAAATTAGATATGCAAGTGAAACTTTGTCTAATTAACGAACGTTTCTCTGAGAATTACTTTTATCCCCGAGAATTCCCACTTGTTCTCGAAAGACTGGAAGAGAGCAAAGATAGGTATCACTGCCTCCGAAATAACTGTGGTCAAATAAATGCCACTTTTGCTAGAAATTCGTTTTGATCTCGGAATAATTTGACAAAACATTGTTGATATTATAAATCTTATAAAACTTGAAACTTGAAACAAACTTGTAATTTGTGCATCTATAATCAATATAGCACAATGTAATTATTCATGGCCACATCTTTACAAAAAAGACATTGAACAATATTACATGTCAATAGACTATTTATTAGCCATCAAAGTGGATCGCAGTAAATTTGCATAGTAAATGAACTTTCGTAGTTTATTTAATTCTTTAGAATTTCCGGAAGATAACATAACAATAGGATTAATTTATAGACAGAGGGGTTCCTACGATAGTATGTCTTGATATATTTACAGCTTAACTCTGAGAAGAAGTGACACTTCAGAATAAAATGAAATTCATCCTCTACGTCGGACTTACACAATGGGCAGAATCTTAAGTTACGGGGGATTTTTCGGTGTCTTCCAGCTTCTATTAACAGGTTGTGTGAAGACAGACGAAATTTTACAATTTCCTTTTTATATTTAAGGGGAAAGCATTTACTTAAATAAGGTTGTAAGCAGACATGATCAACAATATGTTTATAAAACAGACACTTCGGTGTAGTGTCGAAAAAAGCTTCACAATCCTGTTTAAACATATCATTGAGCCTCTGCCTTGCTAAAGCAAGAAACTGTTGGGTGTTTAAACTATTTTGCGACAGCCAATAATTAGACATACCGAGAGAACCAAGTTCGTGTTTAATAGACATAACCCAGGTTTTACAATGTGGGTTTGCTTCACACTCCCGATACATATCTTGATAACATGCTTTTAAAATAGAGTTGATACAGATACAGATACAGATTGATACTGACACGCAGAAAAGTGTTGTTCACACCTTGCTCGAGTGATTCACTCCGATTGAGCTCCATTACCAGAAATGAGGCCGCTTTAAATCCCCGTACAGGTTAGAAGTAGGCCGGGTATTACTATCAGTACTAGGACATTTCATTCTACAGTCATTCACAGCTTTATCAATAACAGTAGGATAGACAACCAAAGTTAAAGTAATAATTTTTTAATTGGTGGGTCAATTTTTTTTATAGAAAAACGGAGGAAACTCGATGAAAACCAGTGACAGATCACACGTGTTGTTTCATTTTGATGCTTGTGGAGGACGGCAAACTACTGGGTATCATATCATACTGGACAGACGGCGGGAGGGATTCGAACTTCTAAGTAAATGTCGGGTTGACCATGTCGATCGAAGCAGAACTTCCCTGGGTGTTGTATTTTCTAAATTTCATTCTGAAAATATAATTTCCTGGTGGATATTGGTCTCGGCTTAAACTTTATTGATTTCCAGCTTTTCAAATTAGAGACGTTGACAGTATCGAAAATTTGTCTGGTGGGATGTCATTAACGAATTATTTGGACGAATAGGCTATCTTTAATTCCAAGTTAAGTTTTTCGTGAGCTATGTTTCATATACCGTATTACATTTAACGGTAAATAAAAAGATAAAGTTCGGTTTATCAGGAAAAAGTTTTAAATATAATCAAAACATATGATGACTGACTGCCAGACGTAAATATTTTTAAAACTAATCCATTGTTTATATTTACATTTATTTACAGTTGACTGATATTCATACATTTGATGCATACCTTTTATTTTTTCGTATCTTCATGTATACAATTACAGAAACAACCACTACAACCACAGCAACGAACACCATGATATTGCAACGGCTATCGCTGAAACTGATACCCCTGAAATATTTATGTAGTGATATTGGCATGGTTCGGTTGAATGACGTTGTTATGGAGTGCGTACCTGCCACATCTATTGTCATGATAGACAACATAAAATAAACTTCAACCATACAACATTTTTTTGTTTGAATTGTAGAGTCAATATAACCAATATATGCTTAAATTGTTCAAATTGTCAAATATGAAGTCGTGACATGTGACATGGAAATGCCATTAAAACATCGTTGGACTTCCTTTTACTGATTAGTCCACATATTTGTGTTATACTGAAATCTACAACAACCCAATTTATGGTGTTTATATCATTGAAATATTCCCCGAACAAAAAAAAAAAAAAAAAAATTCGATGCTGATAATGATACAGAACGGTTTCATTAAAGGGAAGAAAACCGCGTGAGTGTGAAGGCCATACCCGTAGATAATCCATATGATATAACGGACCATCTTTCTGTATGTAAGCACAAATCGGAGATACCTTTGTTATTTCCATTGAAGTCCTTCCTTGTACCAGGTCGTTTCTTTCTTGGTTGTTGCGCAGTTGCAGACTGTATTGTTGTAGTTGTTGCTGGTGTTGTTGTCGTAGTTGTTGGTATTGTAGTTGTTGGTGTTGTTGTCATAGTTGTTGGTGTTGTTGTCGTAGTTGTTGGTGTTGTAGTTGTTGGTGTTGTTGTCGTAGTTGTTGGTGTTGTTGTCGTAGTTGTTGGTGTTGTAGTTGTTGGTGTTGTTGTCGTAGTTGTTGGTGTTGTTGTTGTTGGTGTTGTTGTCGTAGTTGTTGGTGTTGTTGTCGTAGTTGTTGTTGCTGAAATTGTTGTTGTTATCGTAGTTGCTGGTGTTGAAGTTGTTGGTGTTGTTGGTGTCGTAGTTGTAGTTGTCACCATTTATTCCTGAAAAACATACCTGGAGCATCACTCGTGTGTCACATGGACTATTAATTTGTACTATCTAGTATTGATCTTAATACCGAGATCACTTGTGTGTCACAGGGACTCTTTAGTTGTACTATCTAGTATTGATCTTAATACCGAGATCACTTGTGTGTCACAGGGACTCTTTAGTTGTACTATCTAGTATTGATCTTAATACAGAGATCACTTGTGTGTCACAGGGACTCTTTAGTTGTACTATCTAGTATTGATCTTAATACCGAGATCGCTCGTGTGTCACAGGGACTCTTTAGTTGTACTATCTAGTATTGATCTTAATACCGAGATCGCTCGTGTGTCACAGGGACTCTTTAGTTGTACTATCTAGTATTGATCTTAATACCGAGATCGCTCGTGTGTCACAGGGACTCTTTAGTTGTACTATCTAGTATTGATCTTAATACAGAGATCACTTGTGTGTCACAGGGACTCTTTAGTTGTACTATCAGGGACTCTTTAGTTGTACTATCTAGTATTGATCTTAATACCGAGATCGCTCGTGTGTCACAGGGACTCTTTAAGTGGTGCTATCAATTATTGATCTTTATACCGAGATCACTTGTGTGTCACAGGGAATCTTTAAGTGGTGCTATCAATTATTGATCTTTATACCGAGATCACTTGTGTGTCACAGGGACTCTTTAGTTGTACTATCTAGTATTGATCTTAATACCGAGATCGCTCGTGTGTCACAGGGACTCTTTAGTTGTACTATCTAGTATTGATCTGTATACCGAGATCGCTCGTGTGTCACGGGGATCTTTAATGGTATTATTTACCATGGATCTTCGTACTGAGATCTCTCATGTTTCATGTTTTAATCGATATGATATATTATTGATTTTTGTAGTTACGAAAGTTCTATAATTTTAACAGTTGCAAGTCAATTATTACTACAAAGTTCAAGGAACAATCCTGAAGTTTTATCAATCTATATGGTATGCTTCATTATTTTAAAAATGTCCATCAAAATATATCGTTTGGCAGTGGAAAAATGACAGTAAACAGTAAATACACTTTAAGCGAATAAGACTTATTTCCCTTTTTACCTGCTTATCTTGTATTTAAAGGATTTTTCCTTGTCATACATGGAGATGGCAACAAAACTTTTGACCTTTATATGATACCCCTATCGGTGGTGTTTATACCATTTGTGTTTTTATTCTAAAGATATAGATAACCTTAAAACTTGAACTTGCAAAAAGTCGTATGTGTATAATGATGTTTTCTAAATAAACGCCCTCAAGATGTTATAGCAATGTGTGTAACTATCAACAGTGTTAAAGACGAAATATGATGGTTTAACGTAGATTACAAAATTGTTTATTTGGTGTCTTCTTATACTGTAGAAAGGATCGGATATATGAGTGTATAAACAAAGTATCTTCAACGAAGCATTATGATTCTTATGTGTGGGATTGAACTAATAGCGTCAAAACTTATATTTTTTTCAAGATATCTCTGTACTGTTATGCTGCAGCATAAGTTCACTCAGTATGATATTTGCGATATTTTCCAATAATATTAAACGCTAAAGAATGTTATCTAACGCAGGTTAAGGGAACACTTGTGCGGAATACCTCTTTAACCTGCCTCTCAGCTTTTTAACCTTTAATCTGAAATCACAGTCAAAACAATACTTATTATCAAGCACAAGAATAAGACCTTCCTTACAGGTACCTGTGATTCGACTGAGGCACTTTTCTGATGGACAAGAGTATAACGTAGACTTGCTTCAGTAAAACCATTAACAAAGAAACTAAAGATAACATGCTAGTGAGTAAGACTGCAAAGCACTCTTACTGTACGCCATAAATGACAGCGTGTTATAAACTCGGGAAAAGCGGATATTAAGGAACCGCAAATTGTGATACGTACTATGAGTCAGAGGGGCCATGTAGGCCCAATTCAAGAAGCATACTGAGAATTACTGAAGCAATACAAGGTCCCTACCCTCCGAAATATAAAGGTTGTGCTATTTGGTGCCGATTTGAAAAAAAGAAAAGTCGTTAGTTAGTTTGTAACTGATTTTAATGTAAAAATGCAATTAATATGTATGGCAGTCGAACAAATTGCAAAGCAGTTTCATCGCCAATGTGTGATTATGTTATAAATGAGTGGAATTCTTTGGAAGTTGAATTTATTGGTTAGGACAAACTTGACAAATATGAAACAATAAGCATAAAACTCAAAATATAGCCTGATTATAAACAACCTTCGGTTATCAACAACTTTTTGACAAGGATTGAAAGAAAACAAAGCAAATTAAAAAACACATGATATAAATCATATATAAACATATATACTCATTAAACGGCGGAGCATTTCCTAACAGGATATAAGATATTAGTGAGTATGAAAATTGATATAAGACCAGGTGTTTTTATACCAATTATTTTCTTGATAAGATATAACTAAGTAAGGAAAAATGTCTTGATGACAACTTGTCATAGATATGGCTAAGATGACAATTTTCGTATCACTGCAATCCAAGACATCCTGACTTGAATGTGTGCTTTATGTTTGTGAATGGGTGACAGATATTGAACAATATTTCATAAGTTCATGAGTATGAAAGAGCTTGGGAATTAATGGCCGTTGCTTAGCTTTTCAAAAGTGATCTGGTTATAGATTATTATTATATATACTGAAAGGATAAAGAAACGCAGGGTAATATTTATTCCGATATTTTAAAACGCGTTCTCTAAATAAAGTGAAACTTTGTGGATTGAGTAATTAGGTCATATTACACTTTGTCATGTATCGAAAATTTAGTCACGGTACAGTGCGCAGCTCTGGTAAATGGAGGAAGGAAAAAACAAGAATTTCGTGCGTCGTGTTGTTCTGGTCTCATGCAGCGTTGGTCAAGTCACTCTTCGTTAGTCTTTATACAGACTAACTGCTTCCCTAAAATTAATTAAGAATTTGATTCGTTTTAAGAATGGCACGACTCACAGAAGTTCAGAGGGGTCAGGCCATTCAGATGCTGATGCAAGGACAGCTGCAAAATCAGGTTGCTAGGCACTTTGGTGTTAATGTTTCCACCATAGAACGTCATGTAAGACGTCTTCGGGAAACTGGGCGATTGGCCGATCGACCTAGGTCAGGACGTCCGCGCGTAACGTCACGACGTCAGGATCGCTATATCGTCGTCTCTCATGTGCGTAATCGGCGCCTTACTGCCGTTGAGAGTGCATTTATGTTCGTGGAAATCATGGGCGTCCTATAAGTTCAAAAACTGTAAGGAATCGATTACGAGAAGTTGGTGTAAGAGCACGTCGCCCTTCGTAGGTCCACACCTTACCCCTGCTCGACGTCAGCGTCGTATGGCCTGGGTCGCTGCACATGCTCCACGACGGTTTCCACTGAGGCAGTGGAGACAAGTTTTCTTCACGGACGAGTCTCGATTCTGTCTTTATCGATCTGACGGCCGTCAACGTGTCTACCTTCGTCGTGGCGAACGTTTTACGGACGCTTTCGTTGTAGAGAGGGATAGGCTTGGGGGCGTTTCAGTAATGGTGTGGGGAGGAATCTCACACGGGTTAAAATCACAATTGGTTGTTATTGATGGCAATTTAACAGCAGCTAAGTATAGAGATGAGATCCTTCGACCCCACGTTATCCCTTTCTTACAGCAGCATAATCTAACCCTCCAGCAGGATAATGCTAGGCCCCACGTAGCAAGGATTTGCCAAGTCTTTCTGGCCAACAACAACATTCAACCACTAGATTGGCCGCCATATAGCCCTGATTTGTCCCCGATCGAGCGTCTTTGGGACCAGTTGGATAGACAGGTTCGAAAGCGCCAGCCACCCCCTGCTACTCGAGAGCAGTTGACCAGAACTCTGATTGAAGAGTGGGACAACATCCCCATAAGACGGATTAACGCTCTCATGAACACTTTGACCAGAAGAATAAGGGCCGTGACCACAGCAAACGGCGGACACGCAAGATATTGATGACTCAGTTCAATTTCAATTTCAAAATCCTATGGGTCCATTCAATTTAATCGTTAGTACCTCTAAACCAATTTTCAGATGCAAAATACAGACTTTGGAAATTTTTAAGCTTTAATTTATCTGTAAGTATTCAAAATTTCGTTTTAAATGAAGCCCGATATCATACTTAATTTCTGGTTTAAAGTTCACCCTGCGTTTCTTTATCCTTTTAGTATATAATATTATTATTTATTACAGATATTTGAATACACGACATGAAAATTTTAACGTGAGTCAAATATCGACTACTGATCGATATATCGATATACTGCATCGTAAAGATTGTTTCGTCCTTCTTAGACGTGTCGTTGATGATAAGGACCTAAATTTTTAAACCGGAAAGTTGACAGAGAAAAATCAAACTTGAGGATATTCCATCGTATTTCCCAGTTATTTATCGCACGTATGTAAAGAATGTTAAACAAATCGTGTAATAGTACACGCTAGGATCAGCTCTGGAATCAATATAAAAGTCTGAATAGGCAAATCAATTTTGAGTGATGAAAATTCGAACAGTTATGATGTAGGAACAAATTGCAGATTTCAAATCTGTATCTTAAAGCAAACTCTTTTCACTTCTTGCTACTAAAATCCCATCAGTTCATCATCTTAGCTTGCTTCAGTTCATCTTTCCTATCGTCATGTCCAGATTTCCGTTTCAGCTTTGTCTCTTTGGGATCGACCTGATTAGACAACCTTGGCAGCAACTGCATTTGCAGGTCGTTGGAGACTTCGTCTAAAAGGTTAAGAAGTTCTTTAATACAAACTGATACATGGTTTTGTGATAACCAGGTAAATAAAATATCTTTTAATGGTTTATGCTCGTCATTAGGACTATATTGGGGAATTATTTAATCCTAAGGGCGAGATACTGATTCTTATGTGTCGGAAGGTCATTGTGATGCTCGTTAAATTGGCTATAACATGTCATTAGATGATTGGCTTGACAAGGGTTGCTATGTAAAATTCTGTCGAATAAGTAGAAAAACTTTTTACTGCAAAGAATCTGACTTTTCATGTGCATTTGCCGTATTTTAATTCTAGTGGTTCCCCGTCATATTAATTTTGAATTGAATTGAAAATTTACTTGACAAGGGGAGTAATTCTGGTGGGGTTTTTTCACGTAATTACAGACAGAAAAGTAAAAGTGTTTACCATCAAAGAAGACAAGTTCGCATTTGCTTTGAAGACCACCACCTATTGGGCCATGCAGGAGATCTAGAAGGGTATCACAGAATCGTTCACATTCCCTTGCCATAGATTCTGGATTGATCCCAGCTATCATGCAATCGTTCATCGCATGAAGACAGCGTAACGGTGCAGGATATTGTCCAAAGAAATTGTATATCTATAAAAATAATCATCAAGAAAATAGCAACATGGCAACATAATCATAATTCAAACTCACATTAAACAAAACTAGGGCGGAATAAGGGCAAAATATGAACTAAAGAATTATTTACACGGAGACGAATAAGATCAGGTGTTCCGGAGTAGTAAGCATGTAAACCTTCTTCAATGCAAATAAGTTATGTCATATTCTCTAATGAGAGCAAGGTATATAACAACCGAACCAACAGGAAAACTCACGAGTATCAAATACGTCCAGTTTCATGTCAAACAGAAATGAAATATTTCTCAGTGAGATCATAATGGCGACCATAAAACTTTCCCATAATTTTCCTAAACCTGCATCATTTGAACCCCGTCAGTTGACGATAATTTGAAAATTTGATAATTTGAAAAGATTGAGATAAGCAGCTGGTGTTGAAGAGTCTGCCATGTCTTTGATTTCCAGTTCTGGTGGATATTTACGATGGACGAAGTCAATAAATTTCTTGAAGGTGAAATTAAACGATTTAGCAAGGTCTGTGTAACCTGTTTTGAAAAGCTCTTCAATGAATTCAGCCTCGTATGAAAACAAAAACAAATCAGCCAACAGAGGGGCGCAGTTGGTTCTCATAGGTATGCCAATAGTCTGTTGGAAGATCTTACCAACTCGACGCAGATGTTGTTAGCCAGATAACATGATAATTAACAATATGTGTTTCTGTATTGCACATAATAATAAAAAAGAACCACATATTTGAACATTATACAAATACCCGCTTTATACATACAGGTATATGTTAAAAATTTCTGTTCATACAGCGACCTGATTTAGTATTAGTAAATCATTGATAAGTTCTTGAAGAACAAACCAGCTGTGTAATGCAGCTTAATTCAGTACTTGAAATATCTGACGGATTTGTGTGTCTCTTGCACAAACATTTAAATATCAGTAATAGACAAATACCAGAAACAGAACACATTTTACATTAATAGTGTTTAATTTAGTTAAGCAAAATAAAAAAAGAAAAAGAAAGAAAGGAAAAACAGTGAATTGGATTCAATGTTATTCTCTTACGTTTCCTTCCTTTGAAATGCTATACATATCCAGACCTTTTATGATGTCTGCCCCACCTTGACAGTCGCTTATCTCTTCACTCGAATACACGTGCGTTACATGCTCATTCTTGATCCTTCCTGGACAGTAACATGTTTTCGGTACCAACAAAAATAGCTTGCTCGGGCACATACACATGTTGCCTGCTTTTTGTTTTAACAAATTCCGTAAATGTTCTAATTCTGAAAGAAACACATTGAGATAAATCATCACGCTGCTCTTTTGCGTTGAATATTACAGAAATCCCTATTCATAAATTCGTGATAATGTCAATTTATAGAGACATGTTAATTGAACCCCTCCCCTATGGAACGTGATGTCAATGTTTTGTTTAGACAGAAATCCTACCTACAGATGTTCCAAATGAATCCCAGAACTTGATATATATCTGTTGGTCAGATACCTTGTGATATATACCCTAAACTTGATATATATCTGTTGGTCAGAAACCTTGTGATTTATACCCTAAACGTAATATAGATCCGTTGGTCAGAAACCTTATGATTTATACCCTAAACTTGATATATATCTGTTGGTCAGAAACCTTGTGATTTATACCCTAAACGTGACATATATCTGTTGGTCGCTTATCTTGTGATTTATACCCTAAACTTGACATATATCCGTTGGTCAGAAACCTTGTGGTTTATACCCTAAACGTAATATACATCTGTTGGTCAGAAATCTTGTGCTTTATACCCTAAACGTAATATAGATCCGTTGGTCAGAAACCTTATGATTTATACCCAAAACTTGATATAAATCTGTTGGTCAGATACCTTGTGATATATACCCTGAAATTTATCAGCGGGTTTAGATACCGTTTAGCTGGTTTTTGCACGAGTCGAACTTTTCGCGACAACTTGCGTTTAAGACGCCTATTCTATTTCAATAAATAAACAAATCACAATCTGAATTTAAAAATACATTGAATACACACATGTCTTATTTTTTCACGTAATAGCGAAAATAACGTCTCCACGAAAATAACCATCTATACAGTAGAAAACATTACTCACTTGGAAGAACAACCTTCAGATAATTGGTGACATAACCCCAGGCCAAGCCATAGCCAACATTTCCAGCAGGGATGAGACCCCCGTCTAATGCCAGCTCGATGTCTTCACCTTAAAAATAAAACAGCGAAGACATTTGCCACAATGCGGATACTTTTTTTACAAGCAATTACTCATATGAAAATGAAGACGATATAAAATTTTAACAGATTAATACCAATATTATAAATTGTCAGTTTAAAACAGTTACCGCGGTAGAGACAGACCAACAGATTCTAGTCAAAAATGAATTTTCCCCCGATATACTTGAAAAACGCGTCATCAAAAAAAATTTCAAATGGTCACCCTCTCTACTGTTAAATTAATACTAATAAGAAAAAAACTGCTCGAATGAAATGGTGATAAAATAGCTACAGCACAATATACCTCTCAGTGCTTTTAAAACACGATTTTCAAATCCTGTTGTCTGTATGTCGATGTAAGTTACCCACTTCAAAAAGTCTGGTAAAATATCATCTGCAGATATCTTGTCTGTTACTGGAATGACGCGCACTTTCTTACTGTGTACGCTGTTCGCTATCAAAGCCATCGTCTGCATTTTAAACACATCGTTGTCGATGAGGCTGTCTTGAGTAACGATCAGAATTAGCCATCGTGCTTTTTCTGCCGCCTCTTCCATCGCTATAAGCATATATATTCTTAATAGGTTAAATCCTTTATTATACTATATGGAAGGTATGAAAGATTATAAACGCATACTAATTTGTTATATATCTTGTTCTTATCTGTGAACATCGTGTACTTGGATTAACTAATATTTACATATAAGGTGTCGTTGAAGATAAGTCTTATTCTTCATTTACTTTTTCAGGAGTCACTGTATAAATTTCTCTTTATTTCACATTTTAGCCTAGTTTTATTGAATTTGAGTTTGGACTATGATTATGTTCCCATATTAGTACTTCCTTGTTGTTTCAGGATTTAAATATTTACCTGTAAATGGTCTCGTCCCTGGCTTATTCGGAGACGGGAAAAGGCGTACATTTTTCTTCAGAAGATGTTTCTCAATTTGGTCACATATTTCATTGGACTTTGCATCATCACTGTTGTATAGGATAGTCGCTTCGTATTCCTTATTTGGTAGGCCATCTTCTAATGTGTGAAGGACTTTTTGCAGATCCGTAACCAAAGTTTGAAACCCTGTTCTCTGAAAATGGCATACAGTAGAATATGTTATATACATAGTTGGATAATAAATCTAATTACTCATTAAAAGCACATTATATAAAGGAACAGCTTAATCTTAAAGTCGGAGACTTGCTTTCACTCCGTACAACATGTTCATTTAGACAACCGCTACATTTGATGGTGTTTCATTATTGACATCCATAGCATATATAAAATTTAACAGGAGATGAAGGGTTACACCATATCATATCACCTCTATTTTGAAAGAACAATATAACAATCGAATCAAATGACTTAACTAATGTTTTCATATATATAATTATAGTTTATCTCTAAACGAGTTGATGCAAAGAAATCAACATATGATGGCAAAAACAATAATCTATTCGTTCATCACTCGCAAATGATATTTGTAGATATTTATCAGACCCACCATTATTATTTCAGTGTTGAAGACACCGTGAATAACACTCAAAACATAGTTCTAAGTAGTATAATAAACAATGAAAGCGAGTCATTTTGTAGAAAATCTGTTAATCAGAATTTCTTATTTGCAACAGCAAAACTTTTGAACAAATGATCCATGGGAAATAAACTATAACGTAAACATTTCATTAAAATGACTTTGAATTCCTTTATTTTTTTCAATATTTCTTATTTGTGCAAGTTATTGATTCTAATTTAGGTGAATTTATATTCCGTGCTCAATGACATATTGCATCCATAGAGTTTTTACCTCTTTAATGTATAACGCCAGACATATCTTTTTCTTAATGTATGAAACCAAACAGTGTTTTTTTTAATTTATGAAGCCAACATGACTTCTTATCAAAGCATGGATCCAAACAGAGTTTCTTGTTAATGTCTGAAGCCAAGCAGGACTTCTTGTTCATGCCTGAAGCCAAACATGGCTTCTTGTTCAAATATGAAGCCAAACAGGAATTCTTTTTACTGCACGAAGGCAAACAGGACTTTCTAATCAATATGTTTCAATCTATATGTTTACTTTATTCTTTTATTCATCTTGAATTTGATGAAAATGTTTTTATGTAATCTATAACATAACTGACATATGGATGATTTACAGCAAAAGTTACAGCGTTCCCGTGAATTCGTTTGGAAACGAAAAATAAATTATAGTATACAACGAGCATATATATAGTTTTATAACACATTCCGGGGAAAATTTACCTCCGTAATTTTGGAAATCTTCAGTGTTTTTTATATACTCCATTGTGCAAAAGTAACTACGTATTGGAGTTAATGCTACTCCCAAAATCCATGTCGCATTAGTGTATTCATAAAAAGATATATTGTTGCAATGTCATTATTCTGATGACGTCACGTTGTGTGACAACACCCGTGCATAGTCTGGTTTTGGTATATTTGTGTGTTGTTCAGTTGTTTGATATATTTTGTAAGGTGTCATTTGTAATGATAATGCTAGAGCTACAGTAGGTTGCAAAACGGATATGCAGTTTAGCATAGACAATCGAATACAACTAAGTTACAGTTTTTACTACTCATGATGATTCAACATCTCGAACAATATCAGCTATCATGGTTTGAGAGGAGTTATCTAAGTATAATGTCTTCTTGGAGATTATATATTCAGCAACTGAAATAACATCATAGAAATTACGATTTAAAATAGATATTTATATTATTGAATTGAATAATCATTATGTTAGAACCAATTATATTTTTCTATGCTAGTTAATTTCTCCAACAATCAATGCAGTTTATATTTTAATAAGCTAAAATAACAAAAATTTAAGATGAAGGAAGCGTGACCTATTAAGTTAGTGTCCCACTGGTTAATGTTGAAGCTTATGCGAAAAATGAATCATTATATTTGCTACTGAAAATGACCTGCTCAAATGGAATGGGATACAAAATTGAATGCCTTCTCCATTGTTCATACTGCCAAAAAGAGAGTTAGGAATATGATTAACTTGATACACTTGTCCATTGAAACCTTTTAGAACAAACCTTCATCCAAATGACTTGGAAAAGCTGTTTTCTTGTCTATTTGTTCTTTTTGAACTAATTTTACAAACTCAGTAGCATAAATAAAACAAAGATATACAAGCTGAGTTAAATTGTTCGTATTTTTCGGAGTCCTTTTATTGGTTGAAAATTCGCTTGTACACATTTCGTTACGTAAAATCGTACAATAAAAGTTGAAATGATACATTAAAAGAGTATATGAGGAAACAAACTTAGGTTGGCGACACTTGGGTATAGATGATAAAAAATAGAGCAATAGATTAAAACAAACGAAACGTAATTTGTGAAATTAAACCGTATCAGTGCTAAAAGATGGGTAAGTTACATGGGTGCATGATAAAACTCACTCAGTGTTATCACAGAAATATATTACGTTTAAGCGATGAAGTGCAAGATAAAACTAAATAAATTTTAAGCAAAAATATCAGAAAGATTATAGGGCAAACCTTAACATCTCTCTTAACTGCCTTTAACAGTACACTCGTTGCTGCTTCAGAGCCTGAAAGCATGGATGAAATAACAAAAAAATTAAATAATTAAAATGTGATCTTATTCTTATATAATATAAAACAGATACAATGTGAACTTTTTTCTCCACTGCTCATTTTCATTACTACAAGCTACTTTATCTCCTTGATATATTACCGTCAAGCCACAGGAGTTTAGCCTGGTTTCGGCATCCCTCAACGTTTGAGTGTTGGAGTATGGACTGTAGAGTATAGTAAAATCGAGCAACCTGCAGAATTGTGTGCGGCTCGTCCAGGTCGATCATGGGAGACTTGGTCATCTTGTAAATTGCACCCAGTACACTAGGATACTGTGCAACGCAGTAGTATTTCTTTCAAAATTAAATACATAAAAAGAACAAAATTTAAAAAAAAGGTAAAATGTTTTAAGAAAATGCTGCTTTTAAAAGTGGCTATATCCAACGACTGCTATTCACTTAAAAAGGTTCAAACTCATATTCTAAAATAAGAATATATGAAAACTTAGCAGGTAGTTCTCTCGACAGCAAAAGAGTTAAGTCAAGACCATGACAATTCAAACTGAACTTGTATTGCACAGAAAAGTTTTTTAAGATTTACCAATCCTAAAGTATTATTCGTACCTCTTCTCCATCTTCAATACAGTACACATTCAGTCTGAATATTCTTTTGTTGCCAGCTACTTCCGCTTTGATTTCGCCAAGTGATCCCATATTTTTTATGTTCGGTCCTTCTATGAATGTCGGTATATTGGAATCTTTGGGAACCAGTTCGTACACTGCGATCGGCATGTTTTTACTATACCAAGGACAGCTTCTTATCTTCTCTGCAAGATCTATAGTATAAGTCCGAACGTTGAATTTCAGTTTCTCATATGGCTTTTGTGGTAAAAGAAGGTTGGTTAATTATAAATTGTAACCAGTTAAGCAATATTTGGTTAAAGCCATTTGAGCTGAGGTGTCAAATGCCAATGGAGGGGAATCAGATTAATGTTAAAAAGGTATCATATCAATTCTATCTTACAATCCGTCGATCATTTATAAAGATGTCTACCAAATCATTTTGACGTACAATTTAAAAGGGAAATCATGCCTGACTTATAAACCAATAAAATATAACGCATAACGCAACAGAAACACATTCAAAATGTCTTGAAAGAACCATGGCATATTTTAAAAATTAAAATTTCTTACATTTTGTTAATTTTATGATCTTATATTAAGATTCCAATCTATACCTTATCAATTCCTCAGCTACACGAAACAACGTATGCTGTGGTTGTTACTTTTCAATCAGCTATTGAAAGAAGAAATGGAACCTGATAAACTAGACTTGTTTTTCTATTAGAGACAGCCGTATTAAAACAGTGTATATGTTCCGGAGTTTTTAGCAACGATAAAATGATAAATACGTCATTCAATTAAAATACCTACGTGGATGGATCATATGGTGGTATCCAAAATAATGAGACCAGGCCTGTGCATGGGCGACATTCCCTACCGGTAACTCAGATTCGATGTTTTTCCCTTCTGGAATTTATAAGAATACATATTGCCACCACAATATGCTTCACAATATCTTTCGAAATTGAAAAGCACTTCTTATATTTGCAATTGCAGTGTTAAAAACTGTTTTATACAATAGGACACTGTATATTTCTTCTATTTTATATTGACAACGTGGAAATGGAAATCTACTCAAGTTGTTGTTTTAGCAAGAAAATTGAATACATTAAATGCAAGATAACGCCGACGTTCAGAATTAAAATTACAGCCACGAGCGTGCAGTTAAATAGCTTCGATACCTTGGATTGTCTTTATGACCTGTTTAATCTGTTGATTATTCCAGTGTCCAAACTCGTCCAGGTCCAGTTCATATTTATCAATCATGTCAAACAGGGCAAACTTTGGAAGCTGAAAGCAAAATTTATTTAAAAATACACTGCTCGGACATCTCAAAGTAAGAAATTCTGATTTAAAATTTTCTGTTTCTGTTTTCTTACTGGTTTGCCTTTATATTTTCTCTTTGTCTTTTCAATGATATTTAAAAAACGAAATTCATTTTTAATACAAATTTGTCTGTGAGAAGATCATATAAATGTAAACATAGACTTTTAGTCCCCGATGTTTGATATAACCTGCATGTCACGTTTCAATTCATTCGAATAATGTCACGGTTCAGAACATACATGTGTACTTGGCGTTGTCCTATAAACATCAAAGAAATGAAACACGAAATGTAGTGAATTATATGGCTAGTGCATCTTCCAATCCTGATTTTGATTTTACTTTCGATCTCTTTGGAGTTTTGTTCAGTCGGCTTCAAAATTTATGTGCTTAGCGTCACTGACGAGTTCAAAAGAGCAAAACAATGGTATGATGCAGTTTAATACTCTGTTTGGCACTTAACTCTAAATTTGTATTAAAATGTGTTATTCGTTAGTATATCTTTTATACAACTTTATGGAAAAGTTACCTCATCTTCAGTTACGTTATGCAGTAGGATCACACTATTCAGCTGACCGCGTTGGTGCGATCTCTCTAAGGTAAGGATAGTTTCAAAAGCAAACCAGGAACTTTCCAAAGCAGCCGGGGTCACTAGAAACACACATGCCTTACTCCTTGAAAGGGAGTGTACAATTACATCTAGTGTGTGAGTTCCTGCTTTCACATCATCGGCAACAACGCAATCGATTTCTGGAAACAAGATAACTCATATTGATATCAACGTGGTACTGTTCATATTACTTACTCAAGGAGTAGATCTTTTGGTCTTTCTCAATAGTGATATCGTATTCATTTGTTTAATTAATGTCACAAGCTCTAAAAATAAAATCTTTATTTTTTTTTATTATCCCCCCCCCACACACACATCCAAACTATATCATCATCAGCTATTTACAATATGTCAAAAGATAATGTTACATTGTGAATGAGTGTATATGTCTATGAAATCGTCTTTAGATGTATATATATATTTAATTTTGCAACACAAAGCGATTCTTGTCTACATAGTCTGAGTGATAAACAAACATATAGCCTCTTTAGGTCTCATATTCGTCACCAACCGACACCAGAATATTTATTCAATGGAATATTTAACGTTACTTATGAATTATTCATAAAGGAGTTAGCTACACGGAGCAGTAAATAAAAGCACCGTTTGTATTTCGGCAGTTGGAATTTTTTTCTTCGTGTTTTAACTAAGCAAAGCATATTTCAACAATAATATAACTAATTAACTTACCATTTTTCTTTAAGCAGTCTTGTATGTTCTTTACCAGGGTGATATCAACGCTGCTATAGGAAATGAAAACTTCGCCACATTCTTTTGCTGCCATCCTATGTCTTTCATTCAGAAAGAAAATGGAAATTACTGCAAGTACACGTTTCATTTCGTGTAGGTCACATACAATAACGTTCACTCACTCCATGGACAAAACGTAATACAAATCATGATTGCGAAAATAGAGGCAGTACCTATTGAAGTATTTAGTAAACAAAGGTGATTGGATATTTGATATCACAGGATGTGATTTATAATGTAACTAATACACTACTTTTGATTCCAGAGCTTTCAAAATGCTGCATTTCTTGTGCCAATCTACATATCATTGTGAGATGTCACAATACCCTTTTAATATTTTTCTCAGGTTATTTCTTGGACGTCATTACAACATATGTCGAAATTCTGTTGTTAGCGATATTGTTTCGTGCAATCTGGGTTAGGGTCACTTTTAATATTCCACAAAAGGAGTGCACAAGAAAATTCATAGTCGCATCTAAGCTCTTCATTCAAAAAGTTATAGAAGTACTACAATTTGCAGAGAACACATATATGTCACTACTTACAAGTGTATTTTGTGGTGAACAAGACGCCTACGACCATCAGCACTACTACTACTACTACAAAAAAAAAAATCCCAAAACTTTCCCTGACGATTTTAGCAATAGTTGATGTAACTTTGATTAAATCATGATGATGTCAAAACATTTTTTGTCACATTTTTCTCCAGCATAAAAAAGAAAGAAAATTTAACTACTATTACAACGTTCCATAGAAACACTATACCACTTGTTTACATAATGTTATTACTACTAGAGATACAAATAGATCGAATTTCATAAATCATGCTGTAGCAGCTTTATACAAATCAATCGTATGTCTATAGATCAATAGGTTCACTCTATCTTGTCAGTATTTTTTGAATATTCATTTGTTATATGATTAATTGTCACATTGTTATACCAATTTTACGTTCAAAACTTGTAGATAAATATGATAAAATGCTTATAAATTGACCATTTTGCACTTAGATTAGCATCAGTCACATGAAATAGAATATATTTATGATGTAAACTTAAATTTCAAGCCAATGAAAAGAAAAATGCTAAAATACATGATAATAATCATCATGACCAAGATAAAAATATAATCGCAGATTCAAAACCCAATGAATTATGCAATGGTATGTATCCATTTTTTATCAAATACAAAATGTGTATAATTAGGTATTTAAAAACGTTTATTTCTGATGTTAGCAAGTTCGTTTAAATACGAAAAACACCCTGTTACAGCCGAAATTTTATTGTTTGTTTTTTTGTTTGTTTTTTGTTTTTTTTTTGTTTTTGTTTTTATGCATATTTTTTATTTCTTTTGATTCACACATAATCAGTTTGTTACAAATTTGAAAAAAAACAACAACATATATCCACAGATATAATATTTCTAGTTACAGATGTTTGTATAACGAAATGTTCATGTATAAGCACGCAACATGAATCCGACCTACTTCATCAAGCGTGAAATAAAATTACTTTCGCCAGTATTGAGCGACTTAGGATTGTGTTACATGTCCACATTGTATCGCATTGTATACTTTACACACTTACGTTTCAGCAAAGCTTAGTGGTATGTATGTACAATATCTGAAGGAACCAATTGAATACTATTTCATACAAGTGCGAACATGTCCTAGGTGTATGACTATTGAATAATGCTTGATGTTTTCTTTGTTCGGCTAGACTGATTATTTTGGTATGGTTACAATGGTCTGACATATATTCCATGTCTTGTGTTCTAATGTTAAAACCTTATCAGTCTGGTTACTTTTAATTTCTTCAATATTTACCTGCAACAGACCAATCCAGATTTATGATACAACACGAATGAGGCCATTGTGATGGTACCAGTTAATACAATGTTTGCATCGCATGCGAGGTAGCGTCAGCAAATAAATCTAATTAATTGAAGTGTGTCCAACTTGTATATCTATGTATCAGTAAACATTAATGTTAACAATCAAAATTATTCACAATACAAACAAGTTTCTACTTACGTGACTGTTTCCAACCGCCGTCTGTTTCAGTCTATTTTAAATGAAACGCAATAGCTATAAACAGAACATGGATTTCCAGAAACCTATCAGTTCCGAGAATAGGAACATACGGCAGCTGTATTTTCCTTTCAGCCTAACAGACTGTATTGATTATTTTATAATGATTGTACAGCATTGTTTGTTGATGTATAAACTGTGTCAAGCAGGGTTTTCTACTGTGGTTAAACAATAGACATACATATGAGAAATTTCAGACTAGTGATGGTAACGTTATAAACAAAATTATCAGCCAAAGGGACGATCACTATTTCAAGGTTCACATAAGTGCTTATGTGAAATCGATTATACCTTACATAACCAGAACACTGTTACATCTATATGATTTATTACATGTTCCCTCCATGTTTTTTCATATGGTTAAGTTTACCGTACCGAGACAGAGCGCCAAGCAAATGGGTAGCGTGCGGTTTCATTATCACCAAACTACACTGCAGAGAGCACGGTGATCATAACTAAAGGTACAACAAAGACTGAAGGAGTTCTCGACATTATGTTGTTTAAGCTGTGTTATTGAAGATCACAAAATCATAGTATTTATTTGTTATTAAATCTTTCATTTCGAGTATAACAAGAATACCATACTTTGAATACCAAGAATGTTTCCCTGTAGGTGTAGCATAAAGCTGACAATGTTTACTGATCAGTTTAAAGACCAGCCAGGCGTGAATCAGCTAGCACATTTTAAATTGCATATGATCTGTTTTGATGACAAAGATTGAATGATACTACATTACTGTAGACTAAATGATCTTGTTTGGCATTGTTGACTTAACGATTGGTGTTAACAAACCTACTGGGAAATTATCTTTTACAATATAATGCATTTGCTTGAATTATCGATAATAATTTACACTTTGATATTTATGAGTACGAATAAGAGGATATTCGAGTCAAAGCTATCCAAGAACTGTAACTTTAAAAAGTTCGTTAAAATAAATAGAAAGTAATAATTATGAATATTGAAGAATTTCACAATGTCTCTGGATTTATTCTCATATCGTTACTGATAAGTTTGTGGAAATGTTCCTGATCTTATCGCAATGCTGTTTTTTATGTTTATATATGACCACTTACTTGCCGGTAGCCAACAGACGACGAAACTTATTTATACACATAACGATATAGTTATATTTATAAATTTATTTGGGAAAAAATTGCATTTTTTTCAGTGGTCTTTACTACTCTGTCCTATATAATCATTACTCCGACAACATGCGTCTTGTGATGTCGGATATCACTTACAGTATAGCAAGCTGAATATATTAGATATTTGAATTAAATATTTGGTGTTTTTATATTAATTATTATACTCAACCATCTGTATGCCTTAACATAATTCTTATTTGCTTTGTAACAGTGATTCGATATGAAATTGTAATGCATGGTTTTAAAACTATACTTTTGTGGAATAATTGTGCTATATATCAGGTGAACGAACTTGTATATACCTGCCATGTAAATCTTGGTCAATACAAGTAAGTAATGTCACGTTCTCAGAACCAGGTATACAACAAAGGAACCAACAGGCAAACTAACGAACATCGAACATCCAGTTTCATATCGAATAAAATATTTCTTAACTAACATGATCACAATGACGGCCGTATCTTTCCCCGTGATTTTCATCAAGTAAAAGTTGATCAAGCACAAAAGTTGATCAAACATTGATATTCATGGAACAACATAGGATTCCTGTTTGGTTTATTGACATCTGAAGGCATATTCCAAAAGTACCTATACATCAATGTATTCTATGATTAACGATAAGCAAGTTTGCGTGCACCAAAACACCGCTGTCAACTGACGATTTCTGAGCAGCTTATTGATATTAAAAAAAGTCATTCATGGTTACCAGAATTATTTGCATTATTTTTACTAACTGGGGTCACTTATATCCATACTTAATTTTATACAGCTTCCATAACAGACAATATCGCACAATCAAAGGTAAGACTTAATGTTCTTTGTTTATTTACAGCTGGATGTGTTTTACCTTATTGTCATAGAGTACAATGTATTAACACGACACCTGTATTTGACTATCTTTTTATAGATATATATCAATGATAAAATTGTCTGCTGTACTTACCAGATAAAATTAATCCTGCTGACCTGGTATCTTGTTTACACTTTATTCAAGGTCAAAAATAGGAACAGACGGAAGGTTTCATTACAAACTGCATCTTGTCTAATTCTAAACCATTAAACTATACATACCCTGTTGATGGACTTTATACATAATACACGTTAAAGCTATGATATCAGGTATCGGACAAACATATGAAGTTTCTCTACAGGCGTAAACTTTGTTAACTCAATTATATCAAAACATTCATCTGAATGCACAGCAAATCGCTGCCTCATGTTATGAGACGGTATTCATGTATCACTGACGAGTCCTGGAAAACGAAACTGCTGTATGATGCAGTTTAATTCATTTCATTGTTTGGCTCTACTATATCTCACTGTTAATTTTATTAACATGTGTTATTCACTTTATTTCATTTGTACAACTTATGGAATTCATAGACTTTATTCAGATATCCGGAGAGTGGTATAATTAGTATTAACTATGCCTCCACGTCGCGAATTTCCATCTGTTACAATGCTTAAACTCTCTAACAAGTCGTTGACATGTCGCATGTCTGACTGCCTAGCTCGGATGAGACATGTATACTCAGGTGTAAACTGTGTTTTGTGTAGCTTTCAGAGAATAATAGGAGCATGATAACTGGTAGGTAGGCTCCATTAAAACATGAGGTAAATCTATCATCTCAGGATCAAGAGAAATGTAATTTGGATATAAGCCAGGGTTTAAAATGTGGACAGAGCAAAGGGGAAATATTAAATTTCATATCAGCTCCTATCGGTTTAGAAATCAATGTTGTTGATCATATTTTCTGAAGGAATGTTGAGGTAGTTGCTTGGTAAACATGCGTCAT